TGTAAGTAGGTCAATGTCATTTTCCTTCTCAAATTGGTTAGCTCTATTCCAAAAAGCTACCAGCCAAATCTTATGAATCCATTCCTTTTAGTTCTCAAGAACAAATCCATTAAAATGTTGTTGACCTCTGTGACCTCTAAAGTAGGTTGAGGTCATTTTCATTTGCAAACTTTGGTGAGCTCTATCCCGGGAAGTCACCAGCCAAATATTATAATTTTATGCCTTTTAATTCTTCAGAAGAAGCTGTTTGAACCATTTGACATATTCGAACGCTGTGACCTTGAAAGTAGTTCAAGGTCATTATCATTCGCAAACTTTGTTTGGCTCTTTCCCAGGAAGCCACCTGCCAAATATTAAGATTTTATAACTACCAGTTCTTCAGAAGAAGTCGTTTGAAGATTTTGACATATTTGACCCCTGTGACCTTGAAAACAGGTCAAGGTCATTTTCGTATTCAAACTTTGTAGGGCACCTACCAACGAAGCTTTCAGCCCAATATCATGACTCTAGGCCTGTCCGTTCTTCAGAAGAAGGTGTTTAAAGGAAAAGTTGACGGACGAGGACGAACGGACGACGGACGCCGCGCCACGGCATAAGCTCACTTGGCACTTCGTGCCAGGGGAGCTAATAAGTCGTTCGATCATTTAGTAGAACAAATCAATTAAAATGTTGTTGACCTCTGTGACCTCTAAAGTAGGTTGAGGTCATTTTCATTTGCAAACTTTGGTGAGCTCTATCCCGGGAAGTCACCAGCCAAATATTATAATTTTATGCCTTTTAATTCTTCAGAAGAACCTGTTTGAACCATTTGACATATTCGAACGCTGGGACCTTGAAAGTAGTTCAAGGTCATTATAATTCGCAAACTTTGTTTGGCTCTTTCCCAGGAATCCACCTGCCAAATATTAAGATTTTATAACTACCAGTTCTTCAGAAGAAGTCGTTTAAAGTGTTTGACATATCTGCCTCATGTGACCTTAAAAGAAGGTCAAGGTCATTTTCATTCTCAGACTTTGTTGGGCTCCATCCAAGGAAGCCATCAGCCAAATATGAAGATTCTATACCTTTTAGTTCTTTAGAAGAAGTCGTTTGAAGTGTTTGACACATTTGACCCTGTGACCTTGAAAGTAGGTCAAACTAGTTTTCACTCTCAAACTTTGTTGGGCTCTATCCCAGGAAGCCACCAGCCAAATATCAAGATTCTATACCTTTCAGTTCTTCAGAAGAAGTCATTTGAAGCTTTTGAAATTTATGACCCATGTGATCTTGAAAGTAGGTCAAACTAGTTTTCATTCTCAAACTTTGTTGGGCTCCATCCAAGGAAGCCATCAGCCAAATATGAAGATTCTATACCTTTTAGTTCTTTAGAAGAAGTCGTTTGAAGTGTTTGACACATTTGACCCTGTCACCTTGAAAGTAGGTAAAGGTCATTTTCATTCTCAAACTTTGTTGAGCTCTGTCCCAGGAAGCCATCAGCCAAATATGAAGATTCTATACCTTTTAGTTCTTCAGAAGAAGGCGTTTGAAGTTTTTGACATATTTGACCCCTGTGACCTTGAATACAGGTCAAGGTCATTTTCGTATTCAAACTTTGTAGGGCACCTACCAACGAAGCTTTCAGCCAAATATCATTACTCTAGGCCTGTCCGTTCTTCAGAAGAAGGTGTTTAAAGGAAAAGTTGACGGACGAGGACGGGCGGACGACGGACGCCGCGCCACGGCATAAGCTCACTTGGCACTTCGTGCCAGGTGAGCTAATAAGTCGTTCGATCATTTAGTATACAGGTTGTGCTAGTATTATTTGTTTTTACCAGGTTTTACCAGTATCTTAGTAAAAAAATTGAATAATAGTCTCCAAAATGTGCTTGATGGAACATGATATGCATCTGAAATTATTTCTGTTGTATCAAGTATCAGAAATCAATAGGACACAGATACAAGTCATAAAAGAAAACCTATTAAATTTATTTCATTACACCTGTATAGGTCCAGGAAGGCCTTGAACGTACTGTGGTACTTGTTGAATTTAATTTTTGTCACACCTGTAGGTGACGAGGGAGACCTATCTTTAGGGTACAGGGTACTTGTTGAATTCAATTTTTGTCACACCTGTAGGTGACGAGGGAGACCTATCTTAAGGGTACAGGGTACTTGTTGAATTCAATTTTTGTAACACCTGTTGGTGACGAGGGAGACCTATCTTTAGGGTACAGGGTACTTGTTGAATTCAATTTTTGTCACACCTGTAGGTGACGCGGGAGGCCTTTCTTGAGGGTACAGGGTACTTGTTGAATTCAATTTTTGTCACACCTGTTGCTGACGAGGGAGACCTATCTTTAGGGTACAGGGTATATGTACTGGTTAAAGTCTGTTTTTGTCACACCTGCAGGTGACAAGGGACAATTACCTGCGAGTACTTGGGTACTGCTTAAGTATAATTTTGTCACACCTGTAGGTGACTAGGGACACTTACCTTGAGAGTACTTGGGTACTGGATGGGATCTATTTTTTTTCCCACCCTTCACAGGTGTGTCTTCCGTTTTAGCTAGGAAAGATCAGCTTGTCACTCCTTAGAGGGAGATAGCCTTATGCCAATTAGCAAACGTTCAATTGTGACGCTATTAAAATGTGTCACCGGTAATTGTGACATCATCAAAAGTGATTGACAATATTCATACCCCACCTGTGTTTTTGTTTACAAAGGTGACTAGGAAGACTTACTTTGAGAGTACTTGGGTACTGGTTGAAGTCTATTTTTTTGAACATGTAGAGGATTGGGGAGAAAACCTCCCTGACTGTTTGCAGATCCTTGTAAAGTGAGGAGAACTCGCCGATTAATATCACACAGCTATGAGTTGCCTGCAACCTGTAGGAATTACATATTCATCAACTGTTAGTGATAACCTGTGATACATCATTCAAAATTCACATGTATTCTCTTTCAGAATATCTGGATAAACCTGTAATTAGAAGCTTTTACACTACTGATACCCTGATCAATGGTACTGCTGGCTGATGCAGTTTTAGAGATGTACAAACTGAAATTGATTGCACATGATCTTGTAAACAAGTATTCAAAACATTTGCATTTTTTTAAATGTTGTATGAAAATCTCTCTAATCAAGATCATTGCCATCTTCACCAAAATCTGTTATTAACCCTACTACTCATAATATAATAATACAAGATTACACAACTAATTATAGATTACACAATTAATTATAGATTACACAATTAATTATAGAATACACAATTAATTATGGAATAGCCCTGATGTAATACAGCAAGTATTCCATCTGTAACAATTTAAGAACGAATTCATCTCAACCCACCGGAATCTGTCATGACGCAGCGAATCAAGCTCCATTTCAGTGTTGAGGACCTCACTCATTTTCATTGGACTAAATTCAAAGGACCTGTAAAATTTTGTATAATGATAAGTTAGTGATAAGATAAAATTTTAGATATTAGATGTATGATTATAAGTATTACAAGAGGCCCATGGGCCTAAACGGTCACCTGAGTCTACAGTATTTATTTTTGTTGTTGAAATATGTACCAATTTGAGTAAAAAATAGTATAATGTTAACTTAACTTTGTCAGGACCATGAGCTGATCATTCCTAGACCAATTTTAAGTGAGATCGGCCTATTAGAACTTAGTAGCAAAATAGCGGCCATGGCAGCCAAATTGTATTTCTGATTGACCCGAAAAATAACAACACTTTGTCAGGACCATGAGTCGATCATTCCTACAAACTTTAAGTTCAAATGGTACAGCAGAACTTGACTTTAAGTTTGAAATAGGTTTTCAAAATGGCGGCCGTTGCGGCCATATTGGATTTCTGATCGACCCAAAAAATAACAACACTTTGTCAGGACCATGAGGTGATCATTCCTACCATTTTTCAGTTCAATCGGTCCAGCAGAACTTGACTTTAAGTTTGAAATAGGTTTTCAAAATGGCGGCCGTTGCGGCCATATTGGATTTCTGATCGACCCAAAAAATAACAACACTTTGTCAGGACCATGAGGTGATCATTCCTACCATTTTTCAGTTCAATCGGTCCAGCAGAACTTGACTTTAAGTTTGAAATAGGTTTTCAAAATGGCGGCCGTGGCGGCCATATTGGATTTCTGATCGACCCGAAAAATAACAACACTTTGTCAGGACCATGATTCGATCATTCCTACAAAGTTTCAGTTCAATCGGCCAAGTAGAACTTTACTTTAAGTTTGAAATAGTTTTTCAAAATGGCAGCCGTAGTGGCCATATTGGATTTCTGATCGACCCGAAAAATAACAACACTTTGTCAGGACCATGAGGCGATCATTCCTACCAACTTTCAGTTCAATCGGCCCAGCAGAACTTGACTTTAAGTTTGAAATGTAAAATGTTAACGGACGACGGACGACGACGGACAAAAACGGATAGCAATAGGTCACTTGAGCTAAAGCTCAGGTGACCTAAAAATCCTTATACCAGTACATAAATTTAATTTTGATGTGTTATAAGAAGACACGAGAACTAATTTAAATCTGTGTAGTCATTTCTCAAAGGAGTACAATTATTGCAGTCCTGTCTCTAACATAGTACAACTCATGTAATGATGTTATCCTGTCTCATGTTGTCATGTCTCTAAGGAGGTTATACCAGTAATGTTGTCATGTCTCTAAAGAGGTTATACCACTAGTGTTGTCATGTCTCTAAAGAGGTTATACCACTAATGTTTTCATGTCTCTAAGGAGGTTATACCACTAGTGTTGTCATGTCTCTTAGGAGGTTATACCACTAGTGTTGTCATGTCTCTAAAGAGGTTATACCACTAGTGTTGTCATGTCTCTAAAGAGGGTATACCACTAATGTTGTCATGTCTCTAAGGAGGTGATACCACTAATGTTGTAATGTCTCTAAAGAGGTTATACCACTAGTGTTGTCATGTCTATAAGGAGGTTATACCACTAATGTTGTCATGTGTCTAAGGAGGTTATACCTCCTTATGTTGTCATGTCTCTAAGGAGGTTATACCAGTAATGTTGTCATGTCTCTAAAGAGGTTCTACCACTAGTGTTGTCATGTCTCTAAAGAGGGTATACCACTAATGTTGTCATGTCTCTAAGGAGGTTATACCACTAATGTTGTCATGTCTCTAAGGAGGTTATACCTCCTTATGTTGTCATGTCTCTAAGGAGGTTATACCACTAATGTTGTCATGTCTCGAAGGAGGTTATACCAGTAGTGTTGTCATGTCTCTAAGGAGGTTGTACCAGTAGTGTTGTCATGTCTCTAAGGAGGTTATACCACTAGTGTTGTCAGGTCTCGAAGGAGGTTATACCACTAATGTTTTAATGGCTCTAAGGAGGTTATACCACTACTGTTGTCATGTCTCTAAGGAGGTTATACCACTAGTGTTGTCGTGTCTCTAAGGAGGTTATACCACTAGTGTTGTCGTGTCTCTAAGGAGGTTATACCACTAGTGTTGTCGTCTCTAAGGAGGTTATACCACTAGTGTTGTCATGTCTCTAAGGAGGTTATACCACTAATGTTGTCATGTCTCTAAGGAGGTTATACCACTAATGTTGTCATGTCTCTAAGGAGGTTATACCACTAATGTTGTCATGTCTCTAAGGAGGTTATACCACTAATGTTGTCATGTCTCTAAGGAGGTTATACCACTAATGTTGTCATGTCTCTAAGGAGGTTATACCACTAATGTTGTCATGTCTCTAAGGAGGTTATACCACTAATGTTGTCATGTCTCTAAGGAGGTTATACCACTAATGTTGTCATGTCTCTAAGGAGGTTATACCACTAATGTTGTCATGTCTCTAAGGAGGTTATACCACTAATGTTGTCGTGTCTCTAAGGAGGTTATACCACTAGTGTTGTCGTGTCTCTAAGGAGGTTATACCACTAGTGTCGTCGTCTCTAAGGAGGTTATACCACTAGTGTTGTCATGTCTCTAAGGAGGTTATACCACTAATGTTGTCATGTCTCTAAGGATGTTATACCACTAGTGTTGTCGTGTCTTTAAGGAGGTTATACCACTAGTGTTGTAATGTCTCTAAGGAGGTTATACCACTAGTGTTGTAATGTCTCTAAGGAGGTTATACCACTAATTTTGTAATGTCTCTAAGAAGGTTATACCACTAATGTTGTCATGTCTGATGAAACAGCTCAAAATGCCATTTAGAAGTATTATTTTCCCCTAGGGTGTACATACACACATTTTATTCATGCTTTTAATCCTGAGCTCGCGTAATCTCCCCCATTAAAATTTCAAAAAGTTGGAAAGTAGGTATTCAGATCTTCCTATATAGCTACCTGTGTTTGGTGTCCAACTGAAGCAGGTTAATACTACTCCCGACGGGCTTGAACGGAGGCATCACACGCTCGTCTACAACACATCAGATTGTGGCAAATAAATAAAAATAACTGCACAATATTAAGCCATTTTTACATATCTGGTTTAATTGTTTCAACCACTTGAACTGGAAAGAAAACAACTTGGCACAGATCAGGACTTAAGCTGACACCTAGAAAATTTAGCACAGGCATATCAAGGGTCCAGTTACGCCTTGCTGAATCTAAAGGCTGACTATCACCAGTTTTTACATTTTATATTTAAAACAAGGGCGATTCAGAGATATGTTAGCATTTGCTATTAAAATTTAGTTTTGTATTAGACTCAGTGAAGGAAGCATTTTATATAATTATTGGTCTATTGCTATTTACTTACAGAAATCTAGGTGCTGTCCATTTTGAGCTTTTCCTCTTACAACTTTTTGTTTGTTTTTTGTTTATGTGCATTATTTATATCACAGAATATTATCTGTGCCACCTGGATCATCAACCAGATAAGTCACAATTATTTCATTACACAAGCTTCCAGAGATTGCAAATCACCCTGCGAGTGGTTTTTTCTACATAGAAATTAATATCTTTTATCCCTACACCATTGTCATGATGGAACAAAATGACACAAATCTTTTAGATATTCTTTCCAAATATTTCTTTGTGTTAATATTTACATTTGTTGTCCTCTTTGGGTATGATGAGAAACAGGAGTCCATGAAGGAAGTTCACAACCTCGGGAATAAATCTCTTTGACAGCGACACAAACTGTAAAATAGCAGATAGAAAAGATTAAGTTTTCAGTGGAGAAAATTTCTTTGCAGTGACAAAAATATGCCATAGGATGTAATATGTGGAATTCCATTTCATACATATTTTTAAAAGAACTATAAATCTGTGTTCTAAAAGTATTGTTTCAAGCATACTTTGACCAGAGACATTTGAAATAAGGTGTGTATACTTTACAACTTCTACTTAAATAATGTAGTGTGTCTCCTTTACCTCCAAACACAGATTACACAGGAACAGGCCAGCTGCTATGTCCCGTTCATGGTTAACAGGACACTGAAATCATACAGAACACATGTTTAATTACATACCTGGTGAATCTTACTGAAATTATACAGTCAGTTTTTAGGCCATGCAAAAAAAGGTTTGGTTATTTCACAATTACATGACATTAGATCCTTGAATTGTGACCATGTTGATATACCTATATGGAGTATATATGTTCTATCTTTCAGAACCTAGCACCCACTTTTAAAAGATGGGATGAAAATGGTGCAATCCAAAAGTCTAACAGATTTCATGAAAAGAGGACAGAGATCTTAACCTAAGTAAATCCACAAGCATTAGAGTGTGAGGTTATTAGCTTCATCCTGTAGTGAGTGTTTCTTCAGCCACACAGGGGAGATAACTGTGTGTCTGCTTATGTCTCACACTTGATCTCCGCCTGCTGGAAGTGACTATGTACATTCTATACACAACACATGAAAACATGGCAAGACTTCAAAATCTTGTAACATTAAAAACAAATACATGCTTTCTACAGTGGGGAACAAGGTTTCATTTAATCATTTAGTGAGCCGTAATTGTGTTTGGAACATTATTTCCTGTTATATTTCTTTCTATATATTCTTTAACCTGATCATTTTAAATCATTGTGGATAAAAAAACAATTGTAGTATAAAGATGCTCATTTATTGGGCAATATCCTTGTAGTGAGTGTTTCTTCAGCCACACAGGGGAGTTAACTGTGTGTCTGCTTATGTCTCACACTTGATCTCCGCCTGCTGGAAGTGACTATGTACATTCTATACACAACACATGAAAACATGGCAAGACTTCAAAATCTTGTAACATTAAAAACAAATACATGCTTTCTTCAGTGACAGAACAAGGTTTCATTTATTCATTTAGTGAACAGTAATTGTGTTTGGAACATTTTTTCCTGTTATAATTTTTTTTATATATTCTGTAACTTATCATTTTAAATCATTGTGGATAAAACCCCAATTGTAGTATAAAGATGCTCATTTATTGGGCAATTTCCTTGTAGTAAGTGTTTCTTCAGCCACACAGGGGAGATAACTGTGTGTCTGCTTATGTCTCACACTTGATCTCTGCCTGCTGGAAGTGACTATGTACATTCTATATACACAACACATGAAAACATGGCTGGACATCAAAATCTTGTATCATTAAAAACAAACACAAGCTATCTACAGTGACAGAACAAGGTTTCATTTCATCATTTAGTGAGCCTTAATTGTGTTTGGAACATTTTTTTTCTGTTATAATTTTTTTTTATATTCTTTAACCTTATCATTCTACATCATTTAGGATAAAAAAACACTTATAGTATAAAGATGCTCATTCATTGGGCAATTTCCTTGTAGTGAGTGTTTCTTCAGCCACACAGGGGAGATAACTGTGTGTCTGCTTATGTCTCACACTTGATCTCCGCCTGCTGGAAGTGACTAAGTACATTCTATATACACAACACATGAAAGCATGGCGGGACTTCAAAATCTTGTATCATTAAAAACAAATACATGCTTTCTACAGTGACAGAACAAGGTTTCATTTATTCATTTAGTTAGCAGTAATTGTGTTTGGAACATTTTTTCCTGTTATATTTTTTTTTTATATATTCTTTAACTTATCATTTTAAATCATTGTGGATAAAAAAAAACAATTGTAGTATAAAGATGCTCATTTATTGGGCAATATCCTTGTAGTGAGTGTTTCTTCAGCCACACAGGGGAGTTAACTGTGTGTCTGCTTATGTCTCACACTTGATCTCCGCCTGCTGGAAGTGACTATGTACATTCTATACACAACACATGAAAACATGGCAAGACTTCTAAATCTTGTAACATTAAAAACAAATACATGCTTTCTTCAGTGACAGAACAAGATTTCATTTAATCATTTAGTGAACAGTAATTGTGTTTGGAACATTTTTTCCTGTTATAATTTTTTTTATATATTCTTTAACTTATCATTTTAAATCATTGTGGATAAAACCCCAATTGTAGTATAAAGATGCTCATTTATTGGGCAATTTCCTTGTAGTAAGTGTTTCTTCAGCCACACAGGGGAGATAACTGTGTGTCTGCTTATGTCTCACACTTGATCTCTGCCTGCTGGAAGTGACTATGTACATTCTATATACACAACACATGAAAACATGGCTGGACATCAAAATCTTGTATCATTAAAAACAAACACAAGCTATCTACAGTGACAGAACAAGGTTTCATTTCATCATTTAGTGAGCCTTAATTGTGTTTGGAACATTTTTTTTCTGTTATAATTTTTTTTTATATTCTTTAACCTTATCATTCTACATCATTTAGGATAAAAAAACACTTATAGTATAAAGATGCTCATTCATTGGGCAATTTCCTTGTAGTGAGTGTTTCTTCAGCCACACAGGGGAGATAACTGTGTGTCTGCTTATGTCTCACACTTGATCTCCGCCTGCTGGAAGTGACTAAGTACATTCTATATACACAACACATGAAAGCATGGCGGGACTTCAAAATCTTGTATCATTAAAAACAAATACATGCTTTCTACAGTGACAGAACAAGGTTTCATTTATTCATTTAGTTAGCAGTAATTGTGTTTGGAACATTTTTTCCTGTTATATTTTTTTTTTATATATTCTTTAACTTATCATTTTAAATCATTGTGGATAAAAAAAAACAATTGTAGTATAAAGATGCTCATTTATTGGGCAATATCCTTGTAGTGAGTGTTTCTTCAGCCACACAGGGGAGTTAACTGTGTGTCTGCTTATGTCTCACACTTGATCTCCGCCTGCTGGAAGTGACTATGTACATTCTATACACAACACATGAAAACATGGCAAGACTTCTAAATCTTGTAACATTAAAAACAAATACATGCTTTCTTCAGTGACAGAACAAGATTTCATTTAATCATTTAGTGAACAGTAATTGTGTTTGGAACATTTTTTCCTGTTATAATTTTTTTTATATATTCTTTAACTTATCATTTTAAATCATTGTGGATAAAACCCCAATTGTAGTATAAAGATGCTCATTTATTGGGCAATTTCCTTGTAGTGAGTGTTTCTTCAGCCACACAGGGGAGATAACTGTGTGTCTGCTTATGTCTCACACTTGATCTCTGCCTGCTGGAAGTGACTATGTACATTCTATATACACAACACATGAAAACATGGCTGGACATCAAAATCTTGTATCATTAAAAACAAACACAAGCTATCTACAGTGACAGAACAAGGTTTCATTTCATCATTTAGTGAGCCTTAATTGTGTTTGGAACATTTTTTTTCTGTTATAATTTTTTTTTATATTCTTTAACCTTATCATTCTACATCATTTAGGATAAAAAAACACTTATAGTATAAAGATGCTCATTCATTGGGCAATTTCCTTGTAGTGAGTGTTTCTTCAGCCACACAGGGGAGATAACTGTGTGTCTGCTTATGTCTCACACTTGATCTCCGCCTGCTGGAAGTGACTATGTACATTCTATATACACAACACATGAAAACATGGCTGGACATCAAAATCTTGTATCATTAAAAACAAACACAAGCTATCTACAGTGACAGAACAAGGTTTCATTTCATCATTTAGTGAGCCTTAATTGTGTTTGGATTTTTTTTTTCTGTTATAATTTTTTTTATATTCTTTAACCTTATCATTCTACATCATTTAGGATAAAAAAACACTTATAGTATAAAGATGCTCATTTATTGGGCAATTTCCTTGTAGTGAGTGTTTCTTCAGCCACACAGGGGAGATAACTGTGTGTCTGCTTATGTCTCACACTTGATCTCCGCCTGCTGGAAGTGACTATGTACATTCTATATACACAACACATGAAAACATGGCGATACTTCAAAATCTTGTATCATTAAAAACAAACACAAGCTTTCTACAGTGACAGAACAAGGTTTCATTTCATCATTTAGTGAGCCTTAATTGGGTTTGGAACATTTTTTTCTGTTATTATTTTTTTTTTATATTCTTTAACCTTATCATTCTACATCATTTAGGATGAAAAAAACCCCACTAATAGTATAAAGATGCTCATTCATTGGGCAATATCCTTGTAGTGAGTGTTTCTTCAGCCACACAGGGGAGATAACTGTGTGTCTGCTTATGTCTCGCACTTGATCTCCGCCTGCTGGAAGTGACTATGTACATTCTATACACAACACATGGAAACATGGCAGGACCTCAATCTTCTCGTTTCATCAAAAAAAATGTAACTATATTATCCTCTGGGTGATGCAGGTATGCTGCAAATTTCTTGGTGATATATTTAATATTTTGAAAGTAATGACTCGTCCAAAAGATTCCTAAAATATTTGCAGTTGTTTGACATTTGATCTTAAGGTCAAGGTCACATTGGCATAAGGACAGCACATTGCACATGCTATGTGGACTGTGGGTGATGCAGATATACTGCAAATTTCATCAAGATAACTTTAATGGTTTAAAAGTTAACACCCCAAACAAATTATTTTAGAATAAGCAGAAGATTTCTCCCTTCATTCATAGGACAGACATTATGACATCATTTGGGTAACCTTGATCGTGTTTGGAACATTCCTTTTTGACAATAGTTATTTTTATATATATGTAAATATTACCATTCTGTGTTATTCAGGTTAACAGCCAATAAAGGTGTAAAGACGCTAATATGTTTAACAATATAATCCTTGTAGTGAGTGTTTCTTCAGCCACAGAGGGGAGATAACTGTGTGTCTGCTTATGTCTCACACTTGATATCCGCCTGCTGGAAGTGACTATGTACATTCTATACACAACACATGGAAACATGGCATAACTAAAAGGTACTGTAGCTAAAAATGCATGATCCAGACCTAACAATTTCAAACAAGATCACCGCAAACGGATGCATAATCCGCCCGTCCAACCCTATCCAAAGATTTTTTTGTTTATTTGATATTTAAAGTACCTGGTAGCCAGTATCATGTCTATGTGATAAAAATGCTTGCACTGATGCTTTTGTTACCAAGAGTGATTGTCATCAGTGTAATGTTCACATTTATGTAATTGGTTCTTTGCTAATGTACTGCCTAATGCCTCTTAATCAGGGCAGTAGACCCTTGAGAGTAAGTTTTTGACTCCCCTTAATTTGATTTGACTTTTATAGGGACATGTCTACCATAATTGGCTACGTATATACAATTTACAAAAATAGAAAATATTTTCCCAAATTAAATCCAAATTGTCCTTGTTTGACCCCACATGAACATTCATGCCAAAAATTAGGACAATACCACATGATCTGCCTGAACTGTACACCATTGAAGAAACTTGCACCCAAACTTTAACCGGACGGACGCAGACGCTATACCATAATACCCCCGTCAAATTTCGACAGGCGTATAATGATATCAGGATCCTGAAGTTATTTAGTCAAATTCTGTGGTGCCCGTGAATACCATTTCTTATCCTCTTTGATTCAGGATGTTTTCTTCAAAGTATCAAATAAACTCAACATCTCTTTTGGTTATCAATCTATAAAACTTTCTTGTAACAGATTAAGGCATAACTACTATTTTCCTCTGTAGAATCAGCAATGTGTTTGAACCAAGACCACAACAAATTTATTTAATATGATTATCATTTCTTTATGTTCAAGAAGTTTAATGGGTTGTATCTTTCATTACAATCTTGTTTTACAACATGATAAACATCTCTGTATTGAGTGCTTGTTCAGCCACATAGGGGGAGGTAACTGTATGTGTGATAGGGGAGGTAACTGTATGTGTGATAGGGGAGGTAACTGTATGTGAGATAGTGGGGGAGGTAACTGTATGTGTGATAGTGGGGGAGGTAACTGTATGTGTGATAGGGGGGGGGTGGGTAACTATGTGTGATGGGGAGGTAACTGTATGTGTGATAGGGGAGGTAACTGTATGTGAGATAGTGGGGGAGGTAACTGTATGTGTGATAGGGGAGGTAACTGTATGTGTGATAGTGGGGGAGGTAACTGTATATGTGATAGTGGGGGAGGTAACTGTATGTGTGATGGGTGGGTGGGTAACTGTATGTGTGATAGAGGAGGTAACTGTATGTGTGATAGTGGAGGTAACTGTATGTGTGATAGTGGGGGAGGTAACTGTATGTGTGATAGAGGAGGTAACTGTATGTGTGATAGGGGAGGTAACTGTATGTGTGATAGGGGAGGTAACTGTATGTGTGATAGGGGAGGTAACTGTATGTGTGATAGGGGAGGTAACTGTATGTGTGATAGGGGAGGTAACTGTATGTGTGATAGGGGAGGTAACTGTATGTGTGATAGGGGAGGTAACTGTATGTGTGATAGGGGAGGTAACTGTATGTGTGATAGGGGAGGTAACTGTATGTGTGATAGGGGAGGTAACTGTATGTGTGATAGGGGAGGTAACTGTATGTGTGATAGGGGAGGTAACTGTATGTGTGATAGGGGGGGTGGGTAACTGTATGTGTGATAGGGGAGGTAACTGTATGTGTGATAGGGGTGGGGTGGGTAACTATGTGTGATGGGGAGGTAACTGTATGTGTGATAGGGGAGGTAACTGTATGTGTGATAGGGGTGGGGTGGGTAACTATATGTGATGGGGAGGTAACTGTATGTGTGATTGAGGGGGTAACTGTATGTGTGATAGGGGAGGTAACTGTATGTGTGCTCTTGTCTCTTACTTGATCTGTCAATTGGAAATGACTATGTACTGCCCAAAGGCTTATATCAGAAAAAGTTTATTTGGAGTCAATCAGAAACCATTTGAAAGGTTTTTAAAACTTCTGTGTCACAATAATTTGATTAGTTTAATTAACATGACGATGAGATTAATTTTGATAGTAGTCCATTGTCAACCTCATTTTCCTCACACTGGTCTTCAAAAAGAAGCTTGTTCACCTGTGTACCACTGGGATGCAAATGATTGCAATCAACTGAGCACCTCTGTAAAAAAAAATTGTGATGAAGGAGATGACACAAGACTCACCTGTGCAAGCATCTGAGTGGTGAAGATGATGGCCGGTGTCGTCACAGAGTGGCGGAAGTCCGACGTTGGAAACAATATTGGCACAAGCTTCAACAGCAGTAACTGGTAATAAAGATCACAAGTCAAGTTTACCGTGAAACCTACTGTAATCTTAATAAAGAGGGACACATTTTGTTCTTCAAAACAAAATGCTTTTATGTCACATGTCATTTACAAGTTCTAATAACTTTTTTATCTAAATTTTATACCAAATCATTTAGTTGAAAAAGGTCTTTATTCCTTATTCTTAATTTGCCTTTGTTGCACATTTAAAATTATAAAATGAAATCCTATTATGCACCAATTACCTTATGGAACAAATCTTCTTAATTTGAATTATATCACTTTCTGACCTAGATGGAAGCACACAGGGGTTTGAATGTGGATGGAAACAGTTTCACCTGGTAAAAACAATGTTGCTGGACAGGTGACCCATGCATGTTTTCTCATCTGATTGGGGAAACAAAACCCTAGTTGTCTTGGTGAAAGGTGAGCATGCTATCTGCTTTATCATCCAAATGATTCTACAGGTACTTACAGTGTCCAAGGCTGGGTAAAGACCCCGCCCGGCCTTTCTAAGACAAATCTGACGGAATTCCTCTTGACGGTCTTTTATCTGGTCTAGAATAAGGTTGGCTGTGGGCACTGGGGACATTTGGACGAGTTTATAGATGAGTATTGTCAGCTTATCAATCAGGTCGAGCTGTGGTGGGTCTTGGAGGGCCAGATCTGTGTAGTACTGGACTAGAGTGCCCAGGAATACCTGTATTAATGGTAGGAGATGTATAAGTATCCTGGAGTGGTTGTACAAGACCAGTATTCCCGGGAATACCTGTAGTAATGTGAGGCTTGTAAACACCTAAGTCATGATGGGATATGTCCATATAATGATCAACTAGCACTTTCATGCTTGATAAAATTGTAATACAACCTGAATATAATGCTCCTTATTTATACTAAAAAGCTTCCATATAATGCTGCCCAATTCATTTCCTATCTCCCTTACCGTCAATACATTGTACATCCCAAGGTCCACATTTCATTTATAACAATTTCTTTATGTTTCCTTAGATAACCGTTAATATGTAATGCTGAATTCCTTAACATTGACAATATTTCAGTGGATTAATGGTGGCAACAAATTCAAGTTGAAGTGGTTTATTTAAGTCTCACCAACCATAAAATATATGAAATACAACACAATGTATTCTGTCTTTTCATATTTCAGAGTTATCTGCTTTTGTGAGCAGGTATTGATTATTACATCATTAGTTTGTGTGAGAAAATTAAGTCGTTTTCTCAAAAAAATATGACGTTTTTTCAAAAAATTATGACGTTACTCTCACAAACAAAAGACGTAACAAATCCATACCTGCTCACAAGATCAGATAACTCTGCAATACTAAAAGAGGGCATAAATGGCTGCAACATAATCTGATTTTAAGAGTATTTCAAAGAAGCATCATTGGAACTTGCACACACACAAAACATAATTCTTGAGCTATATAAAAAAGAATATTCTAAATGGAAGTTGTAGGAAAAGTTATAGGAAAAAAACGGAAGAGAAAACCTATATATTAATATGACCTCAAGCTTGTGTTTGTTTCCATCAGCCAGACTTGGGTGGTGACACTTGCAGATTCGCTCTATGATGGTCAGTTGGTCAGCCGCTGTGTGGTCTTGTAACAGTGCCACAAGGTCATCATATACAGCAGGGACTGAATTAGAATATAAACATCATCAATGACTTACATATTACAAAAATCAGGTTTTAAAGTTTATCAGGATTTTACGCTGATCATTTATGGTTCAAACCTGATTTCTGATTTCGAATTTGCAGTGTCAAATTTTCAGTCAGATTCTATATCTGTTGTGTGTATGTATTAAGTCTGTTTGTGTGTAACATGATAGAGCTGTTATTAAATACCCTGGTATCTATATTTTAACTCAGCTTGGGAAAAATCACTGAATCAGAATGTGAAATAGCAATTGCCAATATCATTTAATTATATTTTAAGCTACGAAGGTTACACATTACTTTCCCTACATCAACCCTTAATAATCTTTGGTCACCTGCTAACAAAAAGTCCATCTTCAGAATAATATCCATAAGATAAATAGAATCTTAAATGGCTTTCCATTTTTATGAGATTTATGAAACAAAACTACCTAGTAGAGCTTTCTTAGGAATTTTTGGCCAAGCTACTTTTTGATCGTCAATTTAACAAATGATATGAAATGATAATATATGAAACAAGAAAACCTGGTCTTCAATAATATCTCCCACTCCGTAGCCAGTCAAGATTAGATGTCCTAGTTACGATATAGATTATTATACAATTCTGAATTCATTGCAATATCATATTGATATATTCCTTTATGTATCATTTACAGACAGGTGGACAGATTCCATTTTAATCTATACTATCTGACAACTTTTTTTGTTGAGCAGGGGATACAAATATATTACGCTTTATATGTGAATCTTCACAAAATGCTTGTTCAACTCTGTATTTATTGTCTTGACTAAAACATTCCAATCTGTGTAAGTAAATACACTCAATAAACTACTTACTTTCAAATATATACGGCAGTTCTTTTCTAGCAGCATCCATTATTTCTTTCTTTTTCTGAAACAATAGAATGCTTACGTGTAAACTTCTTCTTATTTCTGATGTTGAAATTTCATTCTACCGTAAAAACCCATGTAATTTGCGCACTTTTTTTCCAGAAATTTAATACCCAAAGTGGGGGGTGCGTAAAATACACAGGTATAGAAAATTTCAAGTTTTTTTCAGGAAAAGATCGACGATTCTGGGAGATCGCCATTTTGGATTATTTCCCTTGGTACACGTAACTCTAATTAAGACAAATGACGGTCAACAAATATATTTATGCCAAACATTAATAAAAGATACATAATGGGTTGTTATGTGAGTTTATGTGGAAAATATTATTAAATAGGTAACCGTTAACAAAAAAAGTGTAGCCAAATTCCTATGCCAGAGAATCGCCTATCAACTTATGACATTAAGTTTCGACATTTCGGTGCGTTTCCCATACTATTACGAAAATGTAGTTGTTCAATTTAAGCTCCGTTCCATGTAAGTACTGTAAGGTTTTTTTCAAATCGCCTATGCGTAAACGTATAGCATGTTTTTCTTCCGGCTCACTTTCATGTTGATCTCGCGTCTAGCATTACGTAAACACGTGATTGATAATAACCTCGTGAATTATTTCAATATTTATTAAATGAAGCATCGTAAAAATAGTCTGCGTTAACTATTTTTTTCCTTGGAGTAGATTTGAAGAGGATGTATTGATTGTCCACGCTTCTAGTATAAACATATTTTTTATAATCCCTTATCAGTCAAATCAGTCTGTTATGACAATGCAGTAGGGCTTCGTAATTCACGCCACGTGTTGGTGAGTGAAAAAACAACAACACGGTCCGTCGATCGCGACTGCAAATCATTTCAATTAGTAGAGCTATTGTTAACGGGTAATCACAGAGATAGTGTTAGCTAATTACTGCATTGTAATTTGTAAAAAATATCGCCAAACCACGGACTTAGATAATCTAATTCCGTGGCCAAACTGAACTGTGACATGACCTGGTTTGAAGTGACGTAACCCAAGC